GGGGGGGGGGGGGGGGGAGGGTGGTCAGGGCTGGAGGGTCTCTAAGTATTCTTTCTAGGTTTGGTCCATGTGCACGTATTTACCTAGTCAAAAATTAATCAACAGAGAATGAATTAATCTCAAAACCCTGTGAGGCAGGCCTTATTATTATCCCCATTTGAAGGGTGAAGGAGCGCTCCCTGCTCACGCACAGCGGGCAAGCGGTGGAGCTTGGGGCCGGTTTCACCACCAGCTCTGCACCACCCAGGGGCCTGAGCACGGCCATGTCAGCTCAAGCAGAGCAGGAAGAGGTGATGATACAGCATTTCCCCGGGGCAAGACAAGGCCTCTCCAAAAGCCACAGAGCCCTGAGAAGGGAGCCAGGAATCTGAGATCCCTATGAGCTCAGCCCAGTTCCTCCCCAGTCTGGTTGGGCCTCAGTTTCCCTATCTGTCCAAAGACACAGGGGATGTTAGGTCAACTAAGGTGTTGTTAAGGGCCAAGGAGGCATCAAGAAGTCCATGTGTGGATTCAGCAAGGGTCTTTTTTTTTTTTTTTTAAAGATTTTATTTATTTATTTGAGAGAGAGACGAGCACATGAGAGGGGGGAGGGTCAGAGAGAAGCAGACTCCCTGCTGAGCAGGGAGCCCAATGCGGGACTCGATCCTAGGACTCCAGGATCATGTCCTGAGCCGAAGGCAGTCGCCCAACCAACTGAGCCACCCAGGCGCCCCCAGCAAGGGTCTTGAGCTCCCGAAACCACAGGCACATACGTGTGCATTTATAGACATATGTCTGGGGCGACTGTCTGGCTTTCAGCTTCTCAAGGGGGTCCTAAACTCAGAAAAGGGAAAGAACCCCTGTCCAGAATAATCTTTCACTTCTGGTTCACCTCTGACCGGGGGTTCTGAGGTCCTAAGATTTGAATAGTCTGTGACTCTTACCACCCACCTGGGACATGCTCCATGTGGGGTCCCCACAGCGACAGATGCACCACCTGTGAACTTGTACAAAACGCAAATTCTCCGGCCCCACCCCAGACTTACTGAATCCTAAACTGGGGGTGGGCTTGGGGCGGCTGGGGGACAGCAGGCCATATTTAACAAGCCTGCAGGTGACTCTGAGGCACTGTGTAACCCATGTGTTCAGTGCAAGTTCAAGACCTTTTGCAAGGGGCGCCTGGGTGGCTCAGATGGTTAAGTGTCTGCCTTCGGCTCAGGTCATGATCCCGGGGTCCTGGGATCGAGGCCCGCATCGGGCTCCCTGCTGGGCAGGGAGCCTGCTTCTCCCTCTGCCTCTGCCTCTCTCTCTCTCTCTGACTCTCATGAATAAATAAGTAAAAAACACTATAAAAAAAAAAAGACCTTTTGCAAAGCTTTTAAGTACACTCTATGCTCAACGTGGGGCTTGAACTCACGACCCGGAGATCAAGAGTCGCATGGCCTACTGACTGGGCCAGCCAGGTGCCCCTCTTGCAAAGCTCTTGCAGAGCCCCTCTGCCATCCAGTCAGGGCCTGGTAGGCAAAAGAAACCTACTTGGGGCCCCAGGACAGGCCAAAGGGCCTCACATCGTTCTTGGACGCTAGGGAAGCGTTCAGGGAGGCTAGCTTCCACAATCTCACGTCATGGCCAAGTTCACTGCATCTCTGCCCCCTACCCACTTCCTCTCCCCCACTGGACAGTTTCGAAGCACATGCCATCCACCATGTCATTTCATCCACAAATGTTTCCACATGTATCTCCAAGAAAATTTTAAAACATCACCACAATACCACATAAAAAAAATTCACAATGATTCTGTGATATCATCAGATACACAGAGTTCACATTTCCCCAACTGTCTCCCAAATGTCTTTTCATTTTTACTCGTCTGCGTAAAGATCCAAATAAGGTCTACACATTGCAATTGGTTGATCTATCTCTTCAGATTCTTTTAGAAATCTATAGAACCATCTCTCTCCTTCCCCCGGCTCTGCCTTGTGTTTGTTGAAGAAAATGGGTCAGGTTTCCCACAATCTAACTGCTGCTGACTGCAAGCGTGTGGTGTTGTTTCACATGTTCTTCTGTCCCTGGGTTTCTGGAAAATTGGTAGCTGGATCTACCGTCTTGATCAGCTCAATGTTCAATTTTTTGGCCCAGCTTCCTAGGTGACACTGTGTCCCTCCCTACAGAGCCTCACATGGCTGCCTGCCCCCCTTTGTAAGGTTATTAATGTCAGTAGCAGTCAAAGCTTCAATTCTTGCATTCATCCATTCACAAGGTTGCCAGGCTGAAGGCTGGGGCTGGGGCTGAGCTCGGGAGCAGAACTGACTCTCCAGGAGGGGAACAGCATATAAGAAAGCCCAGAGGTGTCATCAAAATATTAAGCAGGGGAGAGACAAGGTCAGGTTATCGTTCTAATTCTGCAACATCTAACTCTGAATGTCCACATTCTAAGGAATCCAACTTTTCGATTCTCTTAGATGGCAATACTCCAGCATCTGAAGGTTCTCACACTCCAGCGGCATTTCCAACTTGCTGGCAGCCCCACATTCCTGCTCTCCGGGATCCTACCATTCATGAGTTCCACCGTTTTGATGTTGCATACAAGCGTTCCACAATCCTGAGCCCATCTCTCAAGAGGTCCAAGCTACCACCTCCTAAGATCCCAGCCTTCCGAGATTCTAACACTGAGCCCCAACACTCTAGGATCCACTCTGGCTTTCTCTAACCCTAACATTTGTGGATGCTGGTATTTTAACACAGGCTTCCCCCATCCTGAGCCCAATATTCAAGGCCTCCAGTCTGCCATTGGCATAAGAAATCCAACATGCGTGATCTTCCAATTCTGAATTCCCAAATTCTAGGATCCCAACATTCCTGGAGTCCGGCGTTCTCAGATTTCAATCATTCACACGGAATCCTAATGTCCTAGCATCCCAACCGTCTAGAACCGCAACCTGCCACCACTGAACTCCCACGCGCTCGGTGTCCCTCATTCCAACAGTCTGATTCCAACACACCAGCAAGAAAGCAACCTGACCTCAACATTCTAGGGCTCCCAGGGCCCCCATCCCAGCATTCTAGCACTCGGACCTCGTCCGCTGAGCCTTCTAGGCTGGAGGAGAGGCCAGTGCACGTGTAGCCAGGGGCCCAATGTGGCGCACCTGGTCAGCAGCCGACCATCACGCCCCCAGCCTAGGAGACCCCAGTCGAAGGCACAAAGGTCACCTGAAGCAGTAGTTGGTGTCCAGGGCCCGGCGATGCCGGGAGCTGTGCAGGTGCTGGGCCCTCTCCAGTGGGGTGGCCATGAGGAGCAGGAAGGGCCGGTTCATGCCGTGAATGGTGGCCAGGTCGCCTCGGCGGCTGGAACGGAGCCCTGCTTTGGTTTGGAGCGGTGGGGGGTAGGGGAGACAGAGACACACAGTCTCAGATGGATGAACGGGGGTAGGGGCAGGGGGAGGAAGACACACGCGCATGCACGCGCGGGCACGCTGCCATGGGGCCAAGCCAGGGAGATGGGCCTCACCGTTGATGTCCACTTGCAGTGTGTTATCTTTGCTGTCACACGAACAGTGGGCACTGAGGCGAAAGCCCTCTACTTCCCCTGTGGGAGTGGAAAGAGGGAAGCCAGTGCCAGTGTGAGGTGTGGCTCATGCTGAGGCTGCAAGGGGCGGGAGCAGCCCCGGGGGCAGGCAGGGGTGGCGGC